AAAAAAAAAAAAAAAAAAAAAACATTTTTTTACAAAATTAAAGAATTTTAATAATACTTTTAAAATTTTACATTAATACAATAATATTTTTGAAATATAGTACAAAATTTAGAAATAATTTTATTAATTTAGCCACAGAGTTGAATAGGGACACCCTTCAAATATTTGGCTCTTAATATGTTGTAATTGCATTCAGATTCATTTTTCGTTTTTAGTTTTAGATGGCCAAGGCTTCATTCATATTTATATTACATTTTGTCGAGGAAGAAAATGCTAGTAGGAGTACATCAATTTAATAAGGTTAATGAAGATCAAAGCAAAAAACATATTACAAGCAATATATAGTCAAAAGTCCAAATAAAAAGTATTCCCACAAGTAATGCTTATCAATTATCGATTCAAAACAAGAATCATATTTATATTAATACAATCATAGCACACCAAAAACAACGAAATAAAAATGACCATTTTTTACCTTCATTAGGAATCAATTAATACAAACATGTCAATATAAGCGTCTGTGTATACCATCAACCAAAAAATTAGACATTTGAATCATTCACATAATAAAAATAATAATAAATACAAATATGCCTTATTTTACTATGATTTTTGACTCGATCTTAAAACTAGTAAACAATGACCACCATGTATATATTATACATATATATCTCTATATCATATATATATAGACTAAAATTAATTTGAAAACATGGATCACCAGTTTCGTAAATGAAAGCACAAGAAACAAAAGCAAAGAAGTTGATAAGAGAAGTTGACAGTTGCATCTGCAAGCAATTGAACAAATCGAAAGACATACTACACCATCGAAGTAGCCAAATCAAGAGTTACAACAGACCAACTATTCGGTAAAACAGAGTTATCATCACGTGTTTCAGTGTCCTGTGTACTAAATAAAACTCAAACAGCTACCTTTTTACTTGCATTATACAACAAAACACTCACCAATCAGGATTTTGTTGACAGCGTATGAAGTTTATACAATGCATCATCATCCTCGGCAACCCGAAAATGGAACTTGACTTGGATTCTCCCAGCAGAAGCAATCTAATTTGATAAGAAAAAGTCCAAACCAATTCCATATATAGTGTAGAATAAGTGGTTTTAGCTGGTTTAGTAAGGGTAAGGGGATGAAGGAGATACTTTTTTAGTGGCTTGCAATGTTCTTGTGTATGTCAGATGGCTGTTGATGCAAGGAAAGATCGGATGCGCTGCAGCAGTTCGGCTTTCACTGAATCTGGAACTGAAGCTGCAAGACATCATTCGAACGAGAGTCATAATCGATTTTGGCAAGAAGAACCATCAATAAGATAAGACGATAATTAAACGTACACGAATCAAAACCCAACTCTGCAATCAGTGTGCACCAAGGGAGCAAGACAAGTAATGTTATGGTGAGAATCTTTTAACATGATGTGCATTTTTTTTTTACAAATCTGTGAGTGTTTTGGACCAGCTTGCACATACCTCAACTATTCCCACAGACAAAACTATCATGATATGCGAGGTTTAATTGGCAGATGGTTATGAAAGTCATCTTTATTATGGTCCTTTAGGTGCAGTTTCAAGATGCCTAACGGTTGCAAAATTATGGATTCAGTGCTAAAACTGATGGGGGCGTCCCTCATGACAACCAGGGAAAACCCCTAGGTGACTTGAATTCATTCTCTTCCGTGTTAAGCCGGTTCTTTGGAACGGTGTGAAAATCAAGCTTAGGTAGGAGTTGTGGAGGATTTCTTCTAGATTCTTACCGACTTGTTTCAGAATATCCCTCGATAACGAAACACATATGCACACTTTGTGTCTACTTTCTATCAACCAAGCTTAACTCGTAAGATATATAAAAGACCTGCAATATTGCTCTTGAACTTTTTTTCTGAAACTTTCTTTTAGTGGATGTTTTTTTTATCAATCATTCTCCAAGACCTAAGACCTGATTCGACTCCTTGTAATTTGATTAGATTTGAAGGAATTCTTCCAACGTAAAGGCTTTCCTACTGTTGTTGATTTTTTCATGAGATTGAAAGCTATGATCTCATATATTGATTCAGAAGGCCTACTCATATTTGATAACAACAATTTAGTGTACTTCAAGATATGGGGTAATACGTAATAGTTGTTGGGAATGTTGCGAGCACATGGATCTTAAAGGGACAGGTCATGCAGATGAAGTTTGTTTGTTGAACCTCATCTTGGGCCATGAGAGGACTAAAACATGGAGCCTTTCTAGAATACATAAATATGGAGTTTTCTTCCATCATATGTATTGATTTTTAGATAATGTGTCAGGTCAGGATCCTTTCGGCAGGGGAAAGAGATCAACCACACACTTAATGCACAGTATCTAAATCACTAGTAGTTAGCAGCAAGCTATCATATTTTATTTACGAAAGTATTCAACTACAAAATAACCATTAAACAGTTGAGTGTAGATCCAAGTTCAATTAAAGTCAAGAATTCTTGCACAAATCAGCATAAAAGCATAAACAGGATCCCAATCTTTTACCATATAAAAAACAAAAAGACAATGACATCAAGAGTGAGCGCCATGATCGCCAAAAGAGTCGTGTTCTCACAATTTTCATGATTTCACAAGCTCGATATGACAATATGCATATAGAGTAACACACATTTTAGACCATAATAAAAGAAGCACGGGATATTAAAACCCGATGATAATTTCCAATTTATAGATCATGTATAGCATTAGGAGTATAATGAAGTATTGATCCCACTTCTATATAAAGGGGAGAACAAGATGAAATAAAACCCAGACTTCCAGAATAAGCAACTTATTGCTATTGGTCCAAGAAGCTGATAATGAAATACAAACAGGTGGGAGGAGTTATTGCAATGCCAGATGCCTAGAACTGTTTGCTGCATTATGCCGTTACTGAAGTTCTTAGATTAAAAAATCATTCAATCTTTTAATTTCAGGTCGAATGATAGAAATTTGTTGGGAGATTTATGATAAATGCAACCAATAGCAACCGCTTCTAGAATGGTAAGTGATAACAAACCTCTGCCTTTAGGAGTAATGACCTGCACAAGGTCATCCACACTAACATTGTTCCTTCCTTTCTTCCTTACATACGCCCTGGAGAAACAATAGGGAGATAAAAGTTAGCCTCGGAACTGAAAGAATTAATATGAGCATATAGCACAGCTCCAGTTTCCGTTTGAATTAATTTCGAAGCTATCTTTACACGTAAAGCCATGCACTCCAGCTTTGTAGGAAGTAATTTCCAATATCACCATCTCGACTGAACAAGAATACACATACTACTGATTTTTCTTTCAACAACTTCTCGTTAATTAACGACTAATACCTAAACCTAATTTGTATCTAGACTGGCAACGAAACAACGGAACAGGAATGAACACAGATTTCAAGAAATTTTTTGAAACAATAATTCGATAGATGAAATGAATGAATACAAAAGAGAGTAGTAGGTAGAGGAAACCTGCAAAGTGCTTTCATCTCATCTTTCCAGCCGCATTCGATGAGCCTTTCTCTCAAAAGCTCTTTTAACCGCTCCTTTTCGCCACTTTCAATCAGCTACGCACAACGAAACGATGAAATTGAGTCAAAATCCAACAGAAAACAAACGAACCGAATAAACTTCAGACCTTGATATTGATTGTTTCTTGAAAAGTAGGCTGCTGTTCTCGATCATCCTCCGGTTCGGGCGTTGGAGGCCGATTAATGGAAGTCCTCCTGTCGCGCCACAAATTAGGGCATCGCAATTATAGCCATAGAGTGAAGCTTCAACAATTAGGCCCATGGATGCGAAAATTTCAATTTCCAAAAGTGACGATCTGATGAAAGACGACATGAAATCTGGCTTATGATACACTTACATTTTATTGGAAGGATTGTGATAAGAGATTCTTCAAAAGTTTCACTTTCACGGCGACAGAGCCCGTCCAACGACTCAAGCGACTCGCCAGCTGACTGGAGACGACGAGCACCGGCGAGTCTATTAATCTTATCTATTTATATATTTATAGTTTTTTAGACTAAATTGTAAACGAAACATTAAAAAATTATTGCAACTAAAAAAATAAAAAGGGACATTATTTGAACAATAAATAAAATTTATGGGTATTTTTTGGTAACATAATAAATATGAAAAAAATTAATAAATTATTAAAAAAAACGTATATTATTAATAATAATAATAAATATATATTATAATATTATTTAGTTGTAAAATATATGATTCTATCTATTAAGAGAAAACTAATTTTAAGCTTTTTTTAAAAATAATTATCAGAAGTGAAATTAAAATTAGGGAGTAAATTTATATTTTAACCCAAACTTATAATATCCCGCCGGGAAAAAACCTCTGAAGGATCCTTAAATGCCGAAAGAGCCCCTGTAACTTTGCGAAAAAAACCCACCCATACTGCGCGAACCAAACATTAGTTCAGGGTTATTATCGTCATGTTAAAGTTTCGAGACACATCATTCCCGCCATCGAATTTTTGCAGGTCATACAGATTCCGGGAATGGCGGTAAGAGAAATCCGGCGGGGCTATCCGTCTGGGATTTCCGATGGGACGAGTGAAGATGATGATGAAGATCGATAAGGACATCGGTAAAGTGAATTCAGAAGCCCTGCTTATAGTCTCATGCGCCACCGAGGTCTTCCTCAAGCTTTTTGCTGAAAAATCTGCAGATGTCGCCGCTGAGAAGAAACGGAAGATCGTGAAGCTTGAACACATCGGAATCATCGTCAAGAGGCATCGGCTGATGAGTGATTTTCTCCTCGATTCGCTTCCTCTTCCATCTCAGCCGTAGGATGCTCCGGCGAAGGATGAGAATCGCACTTGCACTGTCGTCGGTGAACCGCTTCCTGAAAGAACCCGTCGAATCGATGATTTCTTTCGCCGGCCAGCAAAGACCACGTCATAGGCGATCAGTTTTCATCCTATAAAAGGTATTGTTTAATTTTTTTGCGTTTGTTTGCTGTCAAGTCCATATTTTACGATTACACGAGAAAACTTGTTTGTTTCTGAACATTAGACACTTTTAAGTTATCCATTTGAAGAAATTGTCATCTAAATATCTCAAAAGAAGGACAAAAATCAAAAGAGTGAACTGAATAGATGCAATTAAGATGAAATTTGATACAATGTAGACAATCAAAATGAGGGGTGGTTGATTTTCACTCTCTATTTATAAACATTATCTGGGAAATCGAGATGGGATCTGTACAGGAAAGATCAATTGGAATAAAAAGGAAATTCAAAGATAGAATAAATACTCGAGTATCTTCTCTATCCTCTTTTAAGACATAAGCTTATTTGAAGGCTACAATGGTTCTCTCAAACTTTATTCTGTGGGATTATCTTTATGAATGACATTTGAGCTTGAAGTCGTGTAGTGAACTCTAAGGAGATATGGGGCCAGAAAATGTGGATACCACTGAAGCTGTTTCATCTCTGATCTGAGAAACAAGGTTGTGCCGAAGAGGCGTATGCTGTTCAGGTGAGGTTTTCCCTTCCTTCATGAAAGAGGTGCCTACATTTGCTGAATTTGTGCTGTTTGATCCCAATTGCTGGATTCCTAGAGAAAGCCTTCTGTTCAAAGTTATGGCATTGCTATAACCTCCATTAATGCTAGCATTTGAAAGACGCCGACTGCTGGTGCTTGGTCTTGATCCATAGAAGCTTTCTGGCTCGATTGCTACCTGGGTTTGAAATTTTTTCTTCTCCTGCTAGAAAAATTATCATTAACCGTCTAAAGACCATTGCTAAAGCTTTTTTCTGCTGATTAGTTCAAATTATGTGATGGGGTTATGGGGAAAGAAGAGATCCTCTTTCAGCATGTTAATGATCCATATTTAAAAGTCCGCAGCAGGGTAACGTTGTACTTACTCTTAGTCTCATCTTCTCTTCCTCTTTTTCCTGTCTCAGGGCATTATATTCCTCCAGCATTGCTAGCAAAGGCACCTGAAGATAGGACACATGTCTTCACGAAAGTAACGGATAATTTGGTATTTTTAGGATGGAGGGAGATGCAAAGAAGAACTGGGTTCCTTTTTATATACATATTTTATGGAGAAGGCGAGGATGTTGTGATGGCTCACGCCCACCGCTAGCAGATATTGTCTTCTTTCGGGTGTTTCTTCCGGACTTTTTCAAGATTTTTAAAATGCGTCTATTAGGGAGAGATTTTCACACTCTTTTAAAGAATGTTTCATTCTCCTCTCCAACCGACGTGGGATCTCACAATATTGGGGGTACCAAATCGATTGGAGAGAGGAACGAGTGCCAACGAGGATGCTGAGTCCCGAAAGGGGCGGATTGTGAGACCCTATATCGGTTGGAGAGGCGAACGAAACATTCTTTATAAGGATGTGAAAATCTCTCCCTAGCAGACACGTTTTAAAAACCATATCTAATAGGGTTTATCGAATATCTCACCGTATTAGGTTCTTAGTTGCATGCTTTTAGAATATCATTCATGAAACTTATAATCATATTCTCAAATGATGATTAGCACGTGACAAGAACAGCATTGTTGAAAGGCATTATATAGCTTACCTCATCATACAAGAACACTTTACTTCGTTCTGCCTCCCAGCTCTTAGTCTTTGCCAAGAGCAATTCCACCAAAGCTGCAGTTTACATAATTTTCAAGAGGAGAAAAATAATGAAGTCATATGAAATCCTATTTATATGTTCAAATTTCAAGAAGCTCACATCTCTTTGGCTTGGAAAGATATTGTACCGAAAGATGGTCTGGCCAATTTAACACAGCCCATCTTTAAAGCCTTCCTTGCAGTTCATGGAAATTATTGCTGATATTACCTGGAATTTTGTTGACTGTTATTCTTGCTCGTTCTGCACGTCTGAGATTCTTGTGAGCACCTCTGCTGACTGAGTATCGGCTTTGGTCCTGAAAGCTCAATAATTACTACTTATGACTAAGATTTCAGTCAAGTAATTGTCTTTTATAGCTTGCAGGAAAATTACCAACCATGCTATATTCTTCCAACCACCGCTCTTCATCACATGCTAGCATCCATTTCTCAACTTTCTCCATTATAGTCTTCCGGCTAGATGCTTCTTCTTTTGCTCTTGATATTTGTTCATCCATGCTTGTTAGGAGATTGACATGATCAATTTCCCCTTTGGCAGTACATAGAAGTTAGTATCTGGATAATAGATTTGCATAAAGTATATGATATTCCCTATCATTGATGTCATTACGCACTGTACCAGAATTTATAAGATTTATGATCTTTTCCATTTCTAATCTTGAAGGTATCTCCATGTGCGATTTGTTGCATATATCTTCCAGCTCTTTCTGTTTCTTGATAAATAGCTCTTTCATCATGCTTGCTTTCAGTTGATCAAGTCTCTTGACTTCAGCCTCAGCCTTGAATTTTTTTTTTTTCACATAATTAGCACCTAATTCATTAAATCTTTTATTTACCATTACCTCACGTCTGTCGTACCTGCTCAATTATATATAACGCAAGGCTCCCAGGATCAGATATTTCAGGTGATGAAACTGATAATAGTCGAATTACATGGGAAAATAATCGGCGATCGCCATAAGGTGAATCCATAAGATCCCACAAGTTTGTCAATGCTTTCCCTAGATTGTGAAGCTGCAGAAAACATTGCAGAAATTTATCAAATAATGTTTTGTTTTACAGTATTGGAGCAGTTGGCATTTGAAGATTCAAAGAATCAGTTTAAATGTAGGTACGCTACAACTCTTGGTTTTGATGACTTTTACTATTTTGATACAACAATAACAGTTGTGTTTCAGTTGGTTGTTATGATTTTATGCTTTTGGTAACCTTGAACAATTATGCTACCAATCAGATTTTGCTAATAGGTACTGTTCTCCTGAGGCGGTTTTCACTTGCGGGCTTTCCCTCAAAGTTTTAAAACTCGTCTACTAATAGAGGTTTCCATACTCTTATAAGAAATGATTTGTTCCCCTCTTCAGCCGATGTGGGATCTCACAATCCACTCCCCTTGGGAGCCAGCGTCCTCGCTGGCACATCGTCTGGTGTCTGATTTTGATACCGTTTGTAACAGCCCAAGACCACTGCTAGCAGATATTGTTCTCTTTAGGCGGCTTTCCCTTCTAGGCTCCCCTCAAGATTTTAAAACGCGTCTACTAGGGAGAGGTTTCTACATTCTTATGAGAAATGTTTTGTTCCCCTCTCCAACCGATGTAAGATCTCGATGTAGCATAAATATGTTGTTTGGTAAGTATAAGTTTCATCACCTTTTCAAGCCGTTGCTGCTTTTCTTCTTTAAGAGACTCCACCGTGCGTTTAAGCTTTTCTAAAATGGAGTCGCTAATGTTTTTTGATCTTCCAAATGGCTCATCCAAGCTTGGGTGAATCTTGGTGATGATCGTGGAAGCATCTATCCCCAACGTTGCAGACAGTTTATGGACTGTGTCTATATATTTCTCCACTCTCTGAAGCCTTTCATTCTGTCAAAGAAAATCGAAAAGAATTGGTGTGTAAACGAACTTAGAAGTTGAAAATATTAAGTAGATCTTAATTTTATGGCTCAAATTTGCACCTTTTCACTGTGAAGTCTCTGTAACTCATTCTGATATTCCTCAAGTTTCTTCAGAGAAAGATCATTCTCATTCACTATGACAATAGGAGTGGAATCATCATTTTCATTCACTATTTCTGCAGAAATTTTCAGGATTTGTCCTTGTACGTCTCTGAACTGTTTCATCCTCTCCTCTTTTCTCAGCCGCATCTCCCTCAGAGCTGGAGTTATGGAATCAAGCTGCTCTTTCAAAGTTCCCGTCATCTTTTCTGGCTGATCAGACACGTCCAATCAACATATACTATTGGGTGAGAACTTCGGTCATATCATATCATATCATATTTACATATAAAAATGATTGATGTTATGATTATATCATGATAGCTGAGCATTTAAGTTGTGATTTGAACAGATGGAACAAGTTTGGAGGATAATCATTGCGTACCCGTCCAGGAAGAGAACGTTCTCCAAGGGACAACAGAAGATGCGTAAACTCAGCCTCGGCTTCTGCAAGTTCTTGATGAAGTCGAGATCTCGACACGTTTGCGCCATCAACTTTTTTCCGGTAAACTTCTAGACATTCCTGTTCTAAATCCAGAAGAACTTTCTCTCTGTCAAACTGATCTTCTCCCACTTCGTCCCAAATCATCTGTTATCATTAGTTTACTTAAAGAAAGAAACAAATAAAGAAAGAAAGAAAAGAAAAATTCAACGTCCATGCCTGCAACTCCTTAAGTAGATATCCACATGAGGTTTCAAGCATAGTGGAACTTCGCATTCCAATTGGGGTTTGAAATGAAGCCATCCTTTCTTGGAAACTTTGGATTGGATTAGATTGGATTGTTTTCCTGAACCTCAAGCCTGCAAAGTTTGAGGTAATCAACTGAAAGTGCAGGAAAAGCTTGAAGTGGGTTGGAGAAAGAGAAAGTGAGAGAGAGGTGAGTTTTAGTTTTTGCTTAAACGACAAGCGTAGGGTGTCTGTGACAGAGGGTGGGTATTATGCGTTGTGTGTATGCTTCAGTTTCAAGGATCGTCATTTATTGTGAGACCCTCCATCGGTTAGGAAAGATAACAAAACATTTTTTATAAGGGCGTGGAAACCTCTCTCTAGCATATGTGTTTTAAAAATCTTAAGGAGAAACCCGAAAGAGAAAGCCCAAAAAAAACAATATCTACCGGCAGTAGACTAACCTTCCTCTTTCCTTTTCTCCCTCCATATCATTTCTTCTTCCATTTTATTAACCATTAAGACAGCAAGTCTCCGTCTACCTCCATTAATAAGATGGTCTCTCTTATTCCAAGTCCTTCTCACTCCTACGCCTCTTTACACTCTCTCCTCCTTTAGCACCTCCCAAAAAAAAAAAAAAACTAAAGCCTTGATTCTCAAGCAATCAATATGATTATGAATACAAAATTAGCCTTACTTTGTGTGGCAATCAAAGACAGTAGGATCAAACACTTGTCTTACAGCGGAAACCCTAAATTTCGAGTCATATGGCGTTTCAACCTAGTTTCAACAATACACTTTTCGAATCGAGAAAGCGGGACTACTTGTTGACGATGCATATTAGAACTCATTAAAGCATGATTTGCATCATTATGTTCGATAAAAGGAATGAGGAAAGCTCCACCCATTCAATAGTCGAGAATTCTTGACGCTATCGAGCTAGAACACGCAAGCTAGCCATTCATAGCTTGATGAACAAAATGATAAGTGGAATGATTGTCATGTTTAGTGAGACAAATGGTGTTGGTTGGTTATGTACATTAAAATTTCGATCTACGTTAGTTTGAAACAGAGCTTGCTTTATATTATTTGCTGCAAAAACAAGATTTTGCTTTCCTCAAATTTCTAATTGTAGGTTTGTTTGTTTGTTTGTTCTCACCTTTTTCTGCCTTTGTTTTTTTATAATTATTATTACTTGTTCTTTCTTATCAGGTCGAAAGTAGAACGGAGAGAGGTTAGGGATACCAAGAGTGTGAAGGACTCAAATGAAACTGATAAAGACATTGGCGTTAGTGACTTCACAGCTTGAAGAACTTAGAACACAAAACTCAAACCAACGAATTGCTTCCTCCATAGGTATTGTTATATTATATGCATTACATCCAAATATTACATATACTTCTTTATTCTTGATATCTATATATCTATATATATATATATATATATATATATATATATATATATAAATTCAAGTACAATGAAGGTATAATTAAGAGCTTTAAAAGATTGAGGATTGACCAGTGGGGACCACCTCCACATTTAGCTTAAAGTAAGAAATTATAGCTTAATTTATATTATTACACTTTTTTATGTTAAAGATCATATAAATGAGAATTAAATGGACATATTGGGTCCAATCTTTACAGCCATTTGAGGAACTTTAGCATTATTAAGGCATATATTCTGAATTAAATTATAGAATTTCTTACTTTTTGTTGCTGTTAAGTCCCAACAAACTGATTTGAACGTTGGAATTAATATAATTAATACCATATACTTGAACAAATATCGTCTTTTATTATTATTATTATTATTATGATTTGGGTTAAATTAGGTTAAATTGTACGATATATTACAATTATTATACCTTTATGCTTCGAATTTAAAAAAAAAAAACTTGAACTTTGAATTTCACTTTTTTTTTAATAAAAGTAAATCATTTTAATAATATTAAAAGGTATTATTAAATAATTCTAACTACTTGCTAATTATTGCATTTATCATAAGTACGATACATCTGTTTCACTAAAAGCAAATGAAGATGAAATACAGCGTAATGATGCCAATATTTTGTAACCTAATTAATTTGTATAACTGCAAGAATACAATATCTATAACCATTTTGGATCTTACGACAATTACATGATCCAAGCCATGAAAATACAAAAGAATTCCTATTACAAACAGCCTGCTCAAAAACAAAATCCCCAAAATTTCTCAAAATGTTCTATACAAGCCTGCCTCCACAATTAGAACACTCTCAAGCCAGTCAAGCTCATGAGCCATGTTACAAGGGTGGTCTCATTTTTTTTTATAAAGAATGTGAAACTACAACTGAATATGAATCTACGAAGCTTGAGACGAGGAAGGAGGAAGATTATCGAAATCAGCAGCGGAAAGTTGATGATTTACTTTGAATTGTTAGGAAAGTGAGAGTTGAGAGATGCTGTACCAGAGAAAACAGGCCAACAGTGTTCATCTTCTTCGCCACCAGTCCGGGATTTTCAACCGTCTGCTTCGGTGAACAGCAAGTTTGACAGCGGGAAGCCTGTGCTTAACCTGTCTCCATAACATGTTGACGGCATCTTCCTTTTCAGGAGGGTACTGAAATTCATAGTGAAGGGAAATATTCTTTAGTTGCTTCCACATTTCAATCCATCTCTCCTTAGGAAATTGCCTGAGTTTATCAACCATGTAACCAGGTTGCAGTGCCTCTTCGAATGAAAAAAACAACGAGAATCGAGTGTAGTCAATTTCATCCTCAAATGGCAGCTCTATTTGATCACTAACAATGACGGGAACACAGTGGCTTACGATAGCATCGAATAGCCGACAAGATGATGGCGTGTCTCCTGCGGGATGCAGGCAGAACTTTGATGAACGCATCCCTTCAGAAGACTGGTGTAACAGAAGAATAGAAAAGAATGAGATACACTGGACTTTTTTATTGATTCCTTACCATAAAACCTTACACAGAACAGACCTACCCATATGAAAACAAACTTTTCTTCTTCAAAAAATTCATTTGTCTTGGTGAGCAAAGGGAAGGAACCTAGGCTCTACCCACAGAAGAGAAATTCAAAAGGTAAAAATAGTATACTGTTCACAAAATTATCTTGTCTCTTGGACCTCTAACCTTCTCTTCCTACCATCCAAAACCACCCCATTTTTAGATTAGACATGAGAAAAAAGATTATGGGCTTTTGCTTGAAAGCATACAACAAGTATTGATACGAAAAATGGTTCGAGTTTAAAGCAGCAGAGTAGAATGCACAAAGTTTTTCCAATACAAATGGTCAAATGGAAATTATTTAGCAATAAGCTAACTGCGCCTACATCATACCGTTTTTATGCTTTTCTCCGTTGCAGCGCTACGTTCATAGTGAACATCATCGTAACCATCTAATATCTTAGCCAGTTTGACACGAATAATTCCATCCTGAAACATGTTGATAGGAAATATCAGTTACTACAATTACAAGTCAAAACACAGCTCTCCTTCCCCAAGAAAAGAATCCCATTTTGGAATGGGAGGGTATGTATCAGCCATGAAACCTTAGTCACTTACATCTTTTCTGAACGTCTTTCCCTGAAAGAAGAGTAATGTCTTCCGAGACTCGAATGGATCCTGAGGGTCATCATCAATGAAAGAACTCACGACATGCACATACGGAGCTACCACGTCTTTTCCCAAATTCGACATGGCTTTTGGATATCGGCCGAAATCCACTACAATTTGTATCAAGGCATTCACCTGGTCTCGGAGAAATCTGAAGGCATTAGGATGTGTCATGGGAATGACATGGTCTCTACCCCTAGACCTCTGCCAATACTTAGATTCGCTCAAGAATTTCATAAGTTCGATCTGAGGAAACATCAGTAAGCCAATCAATTGACTGAAGTACAATTCACTTTATCTACATGACTCTGAGGAAACACAGGATTTGCATCTTTCTGATCATATAAACTAACATGTCTATCCCTGATCTGAAAATTCACTCAATCTGAGATGATTAAACTGTATCGGATTCACTTTTAAGTAAGAATACAGTAGAGCTTTCCCCCTTTACATCCACTTGCTCATTGTAAAGCCATCAACAGAAGCGTAGATGGAAAAATTGAATATCATCACAATCCAAGAACTGCAATAGAATCAGCTAAATGTAGCACAATCAATGTGAAACATACTAGACATGCTATAGTTAAAGCGTCCAATGCCTTAATAGAGGATATTGCAATGCTCTAAATAAGGAATTGATAAGAAACTACATAATTCCACAAGAGTCACGGACTTAAAACTGTATAACCAAGTACAAGGTACCTGCAATAGGTGATCAATCTCCTTGGCCGGATCGGTCATGTTGTGTCCATGTGAATTGAAACTCAAGGAAGAGAAAAACGGCACAAAGAAGGCATCGGCATTCTCTGGATCCATGATTCTAACCACGTCTCTGCCATCGCCAGCACCTTCATGTATAAGCGAACCCATCATCCAATACTCCACACTATGCTGCCGCTTCAACCCCCAGTTTTTGGGCCATGGCGGCCAAGTGGAGGCGGTGACTGGAGTCTGGTCCAAGTTTCGGCGATTCATAATCCCGACATTAAAACGACGGGGAAGATCGTACATGTACACCCGGAGAGGAGAGTCGGCGGCACATGGGAAGGGGGAAATTGGCTGAGACTGAAGCAGAGTGAAGAAGTGCGATCTGATGTCGACGGTTCCGACGAGAACTAAACAAGAAATGAAGAAGATGACTGAAAATACGAGGAACAATGTAGCTTTTCGATGCATTTCCGGAGATCATCGCCCGCAAATTCTCTCTGAACCGAGTTCTTGTGAATTATAACCAGACGGTTCGTTTCTCGGTTGCGTTCAAAAGAGGACGATTTATTATTAACTTGGATAAATTATGGAAATTACCATTCAAAAATACCCGTGAATATTAAATTCCAAAAGTACCCCTCATTTTTTAATCTAAATATCATTAAAAATATATATATATATATATATACATAAATTTTGAAAATTTCAATAATAACTTTAAATTAAAAAAAATAAAAATATTTGTTTGATAGTAATTTACTTCAAATATGCTTTTATTATTAATACCATATTTAAAAAATAACTATAAATTTTTAAAGGTAGTATTAACGACAGTTACTTTAATAAAAATAATTTAACCATTTTTTTACCATTAATATATGGACGAAAATCGTCTAACTAGATCATGATTTTGCGACTGCGGTCTACTATGATATGATTTATCATATCAATCATAGTTAACGGAAGTTATGGTGTATGATGGTCTTAATTTGTACTCTTATCTAAAATTGATTCCTTACGTGGTAATAAAGCATATTTCTTTAAAAAAAAGTGATAAAAAGGCAAGAAAAACATCAAATAAAAGAAATATATTCCAGCACGACATAATATAGTTGGCCCACCAACTTAAGTCAGAACAATGTTTGTCAAGGGACAAATTATTCTATTATCTTATCCTTAAAATTAGTTAATATAGTTTTTTAAATTTATCACCTACTCCACTATTTCTCTTATATATTAATTGACTTAAAACTACTTTTATTTATTTATTTATTTATTTTTTACGATTTTGTAGAATAATTTTGAATAATTATAACACTTAAAATCACCCAACAAACTTATTTGGATGCATCCCGATTCCAAAATCCCTTTCTGAGCACGCAATCGTCACCATACACAAAAATCCAAAAGTTATTAGATGCCAATTAAACGGGCACGATTGCATTAAATGGAATCTTCAAAATACACGCGTAGCATAGAATTACCTGACCCCAAACGGCGTCGTTTTGGTAGATCGTTTCTATAATTCGCCGTCTATCGGTGGCTTAACCGATGATTAGCACATAATTTTCATCTTAAGCATTTTGTATAAATAGAACGGCTTGAAGACAGTGGATTATGCAAATTAGTTCACATTGGCATCGTCGCGCCAAATTTACAGAGTTCAGATTCAGATCGTTGAGCTGGTGGCGATGGCTCTCCGATTCAATTCCGATGATGCGACTGGCTATAAGCTATTGCTCTGTTTAGCTCTCATGTATGGCCTTATGTCGATGCTGGTTCACTCCATTGTTCACATGAAGTTTGTCAAGCCGCTCGCAATTGATGCGCCTCTTCATCGATTCTCTGAAGCCAGAGCGGTGGAGCATGTAAGAGTTTTGTCTCAAGAGATCGACGGTCGTCAGGTATGCGGGTGTTTGCATGCATTTTAGTTTGCTTCTACCAGGAAACTTCATTTTGGATGATGATTTGAGCTTTTCCAGCTCTGTTTCTTTCACTTGGTAACCACTAATGTGCGCTAGGGAAGAAACCAGCAATTAATTTGTCATTTTTGATAAATAAACAGCTTAATGTGTTTGTAAGATTTAGTCTTGGGTTTATGTACGCATATATATATATTTTGTAGGAGGGTCGTCCTGGTTTTAGAGAAGCTGCTCGATATATAAAAGGGCAGTTGGAGATGATGAAGGAGCGTGCTAGTGATAAATTCCGGTCAGCGTAGTTTCTCATGTCTACTAACGAAGCTATTCAATTTTTAATTGCTTCTGTTGTTTTATACTGACGAAATGGTCCGCTATGTCATACCTGCATGTGCTTCTTGATAATTGAAGTTTGATTGCTGTATTGCTGAAGTTGTGTATTTACAGAATCGAGATCGAGGAGACAGTTGTTGATGGTTCCTTTAATATGATGTTTCTGGGCCACAGCATATCACTGGGATATCGAAACCACACTAATATCTTAATGAGGTATACTTGAATTTTCATTTTAATTATATAATTGACCTGGGAACTGCTGGGAACTGCTTAAATCTCTTATCATTGAACGAAAAAGAATTCGTGATGTGGGATTAGTCATTCATGTGTTGTGATTCATGTACCAACTTCCGAATAACAAAGCATAGCCTTTTCAGGCAGTATGACTAATTTACTATGACTTCACTCTTGTTGGATGACAGGATTTCATCAGTGGACTCGCTAGACACCGACCCATCAGTTCTAATAAATGGTCATTTTGATAGTCCACTTGGTTCGCCGGGTGCCGGTGATTGTGGCTCATGTGTTGGTGGGTACTGGAAAACCCTTGTCAAAGAAAAGTAACTCCGCACTACTTTCATTGATCATGACACTCTCTTATCACATATTTCATTGTCACAGCATCAATGCTAGAAGTTGGCAGACTTATTGTAGACTCTGGATGGATTCCTCCTCGTCCTGTTATTTTTCTTTTCAATGGTGCAGAAGAGCTGTTTATGTTGGTAGGCATTCAGGCTTTGGTTCTTACCGAAAAATGAACTTTAACTTTCCACTATTATTGTATTTGTGGCAGCCTTCATGATTATAATTTGTGCTTTAGAGGAAGGTATAATTCAAGAGTTTTTTTTTTCTTTCTGTCTGCTTGTCTAGATACTGTAAAATGATGGCTGCTACGTTGGATGTCAAACTTAAAGTGTTTTTATTTGAATTTGGTACAAACATATGCTCGCAGATAATGTTCGGCTTTATCTTTGTTCAGATGTTATGATTAGTCAGTTTTGAACAATCCTTCCGCTCTGGTCTGGAAATTTCCGAAGTTCTCTAGCTTACAGCAAGCATTTGACTTATGCTGTATAATGTTTCAGGGTGCACATGGATTTATGGAGAAACATAGGTGGCGTGATACAATTGGAGCTTTTGTAAATGTCGAAGCATCTGGTACTGGAGGTTTAGGTAAGAAATAATCCTTATTGATTGTTAATGAAGTCTTGTCCATCTATGATTAAGTTTCAGAGTTTGACAATGTGCTACAAAATGATTTTTTTTTTCAGCGATTGAACTTGATGAAAATAGAGTACCTACATTAAAGAATGGAAATGTTGCTTGAATTATGGGTTTTTAACGAAATATTTGTACCTTCATACTGTAAGAATGGAACATGTTGACACTGATGACGAAGCTTGTATTGATTCAAATTTTATTTATAAAGTAATTTGAAATGTATGGCCCAGAGAGAAATTTAACCTTTTTCCCAATAAATAAATAAATAAATAAAAAATTCCTGCATGTCGTGCCACATTATCATTTCTCTAATTTGGTCATTTTTTTTGTTAATAGATTTAGTTTGTCAATCTGGACCTGGCTCATGGCCTTCACGTATTTATGCTCAGTCTGCTGTGTACCCCATGGCACACAGTGCTGCTCAGGTTCTTCTTTAGCTATTATTCTTCTCCAGTTTTATGTTTTTGTATTGCAAAGGAGAATCTTAGTTTCAAATTACGATTACTTGTTTGTTTTCATCCATAGACATCTCCATCAATACCCTGTTGAGGCAACAGGTTGTTATTTTCATATTTCAATAGCTAAATCAAATATCTTCCTTTGTTTTCGAGATTGTGCATCCAGTTATAAAACTGCTGTATTTTTCACCTGTGTACTGTTTATTGGTTTTTCTAATTTGCATGCAGGATGTGTTTCCAGTTATTCCAGGAGATACAGATTATAGGATGTTTTCTGAGGATTACGGCAACATACCTGGCCTAGATATTATCTTTATTTTGGGTGGTTACTTTTACCATACCTCATATGATACAGTGGAGAGACTATTGTATGCATCACATCTGCTGTTTTGGTACAGATACATGATTTGGATTTAAATATATTTTTGTTCTTCAAAATTTTCTGAGACATTCAATGGCATTTAGACCTGGAAGCATCCAAGCACGAGGAGACAATTTGTTCAGCTTAATAAAGGGCTTTGCCAATTCTTCGATGCTTCAAAATTTTAATAAGCAAGCATCTCCTGAAATTACTATCCATCAGGACAAAGACGATGGGGCTATTTTCTTTGATTACCTCTCATGGTTTATGGTATGCTTTGAATTTTGTTACACTTCGGTTATTTTACTAGTACGAGCTTAATGATTGCCATTACTAGCCATGAATTTTAGGTCTTTTATTCTAGAAGGCTTGCTCTGGTACTTCACAAAATTCCAATAGCCGTCTTCCTAGTAATGCCATTCCTTTTGAACTTGCGGGAGTTTAGCATGACTTCATGTTTGGCAACATTTTCTGATTTGACAAAAGGTAAAATAATTTCTTCTCACATTTTTTTTTTGTTAAGAAGCTTCGTCAACTGCTCCTCTACTTTGCATTTCCGTTATACATCAACTTTAATGTTTGATTTTTCATTTTGCTTTAAATTTAAAGTTTATGGTGAAAGCTTGCCAAAATTGTGTCATTGAATCAGCATTGTTGATTTTTTATCTTCAGGATTTTTATTTCATGCCTTGGGGTTTCTTCTTGCTATTGTTTCTCCAATTATGTTTTCCATCATAAGATTGCTATTCACCAACTATTCCATGAACTGGTGCGTATTTTCTCTTTTTTTTACTTGTCTGTTAGCTTCTCTCTTATCTCTACAGATAGATATGGATACAGATATATTTTGGCTTGATGTGTTAATAAATAGTATGTTTAATTTCACTACTGTTACTATGGTATCTAAGTGGCACAAGTAACTCACGAAGGACCTACCTTTCTGGTGGCCACAGTCTGATTTGATGACATTGAAGCAATTTTTATATTCTCATTGACATTTGGAACTTAAATTCAGGTTTTCACGTCCATACTTGGCTTATCTGATGTTCATCCCCTGCTCACTAGTTGGTCTTCTGATTCCAAGAACTATTTGGAGTTGCTTTCCTCTCTCCCAAGATGTTTCGGTTCTTCAAACCTCAAGAGAGGTGAAATTCTATTTTGTTATTTCTTTAGATGAAACTAGTTTTACTTGTTAGTCATATCTTATGCTTTAAAACTCTGATTTTAGGTTTTTTCCTCTTCTTGGTGGCTGGATATAATGGACTATCAATCAAGTCATCTATTCATATTTCTTCCTTCATCTCATCTCATCTCATCTCATCTCATCTGCGTGTTACAATTGAATGATAAATGTCGGTCTAAAATTTGATGAGATATTGCAACAATACTTGCCACTAAATTACTTGCTTTAAAGTTGTGTTTAATATTCTGGACGTTTCCTGCATCAGTGAGAGTTTCAAGATGCTTGCAACGATCCTTCATTAGTATTGAAAGGAGAAAAAAAAAAGTGCGATATGTAATGCACTTCATGTCTTTTTTTTGGTTTTTTAAAATTATTTATTTATTTATTTATTTATCAGAATCAACTTATCAAATCCACTTTTTTATTTTTTATTTTAAGTTTATCAATTAACTACCTTGGGTTAACCCCCTTGCAATAAGGGCCATGTAAAATAATAAAGGGCCTAGAGGAAATGGGTTCAAGCCATGATGGCCACCTACCCAGAAGTTAATATCCTAGTTGCCTTGACATTCAAATGTAGTAAGGTCAGATAGTTTATGTGTGCAACCTGGCCATATAAAACTCAAAAAAGTTTATCAATTGAATTATTCAATAAACATGAAGTGCACAGTTATTGCAACAATATAAAGCAAGTGTCAACTGGTTTGATGTATCTCACAAGTCATATACTCCTTGGGCTTAGTAAGCCTATCTGCATACACAATGAATTTGCTCTGGCGATTTCCTTCAATGCAGAAATTTTATTTGTTACATTTCTTTTTCCTGAAAACTATTCTTCGAAATTTCTTGATTCAATCTTTATGTGATTTACTGTTAGATTGTGTCCTTCCATATGATCGATGAAGACTCGAACCTAACCACCTTGTTTTGGATATGACAAAAACTTTACCCAATATCTTGACCCATCCATAGTCTGGAAAGTTTTATTAGTTTTGTTCTAGAAGTTCCATTAGACCTTCAACTTCTTTACATTCGTTGGGCTAGTAACAAATTTGGTGCACCCATCATGTCCTACCTCTTTGGTTGATGTAAAAAGCTTTGTACTATGATGTGCAATCTTTGGAATGCTCATTTTGGGTTATAAATTGACAACTTTAAAAGCTTACTGGTATAAAATGTATATGTAACATCAATCATATTGACATCACGTATCCCATGTAATTGCTGAGGTCTAATTTGATATTTTAATCTCACAGGCAGTGTCTGATGAAGCAAGGTTTTGGGGCGCATTTGGATTCTTTTCCAGTTTGACAATGGTATGTTGAAGGATATGGCCTGTACGATATCATTTCACCAAAGTGAACGGGCTTGTAATGGAAGAATTAATATTAATATTATTGTTATTGTAATTATTATTTTTTAATTTCAAAGGGTTGATTGCTCAAAGAAGTTTCATAAATGCAGGCATATCTTTTAGCAGGGCTTAGTGGTGGCTTCTTGACCTTCTTCACGTGCATTTCTATGCTTGCTGCCTGGTTGTCATTTTCCGTGGCAGCCAAATATTATGGCCACAGGTCTCTCAGGTTGTAATCTGCACATTACGATTTAGAATTATGACTTGTTGATGCTAATGATATGATTTCTAAGCAAAAGGTTTCTGCCTGATGTTTTCTAATCATTTGAATCAAATCTTCCTCTATGATCATTTTCCTGTCAGATAGAGGTAGTTTACTGGTGTGATTAGTGTGAGTGTGTTCTTAACAAAAAAAATTATTTCAAGTCTGTCGACCTGGATTATTTAACAAACCATAATATGACCTGAACACACTAATATGTTATTGTTCAAAATATTAGGACTCGCAATAAACAAAATAAAGTTACTAACCGCCAAGGTTCCACTTAATATTTGTAAAATGATGCAACATCTTGAAGCATATGTCTACGTAGGGAATCTAATATCTATTGTGTATCTGCGGTTGCATGCTCAAAAAACAAGTCTAACAAATTTTAAAGTTCCATTTCAACGATCTTTTGCTACATCCTCTATCATTACCATCTATCTAACGAAACGGAGGCCTATACCAATTGGCATCTCTTCTTGCCCAATGCATTTTCCGAATTTAAATAAATTCTCTCCATTTTTTTGCTGCATCCAGAATATCCAAGCGTGTTTTGGCCTGACCTATATTGAAATGAATTGTAATAAATTCACACACTCATTTGCATGTTTCATGTGTTGGGAGTTGCAGTTTTACTATGTCGATAGTTGCACCTGTCTGGCATCCAAAAAAGTGAACTGATAGGTCAGGAAATTAGTTTGACTGTTCACCCTTACCAGTGGTAAAATGGATGCAGGCTTGAATCTAGATATTTTTAGGCATGTTTCTTTCTGGGCTCTGGAGTATGGTTGTGTCAGTTCGTCAATTCTGATTGAATCTATTAATTTAATTATAAATCAATTTATTATGGGATTCTTAGCTTGTAGATAAAATTTCTTTCTTCCAGTTCTTATCCACATCGTTGATGAATCTGTTGGTTGTATTCCCTTTTCTCCACTTGAATAATATTTTCCTTCTTTAAAAATTCTCTTATCAGTACTCCTGTTGTTAAATTGGTGAAAGAAATTTTAGTAGTCTGATCAAAGTTTATCTGTTAGGTCAATATTGTTTTATGTGATACCCATGGTTCCATACCTTGCATACTCTGTGTATTTTGGAGGCTTCCTTGCCCAATTTTTAATTGAGAAGACGGGCATGATGGGCTCCATTCCACCTCCGTATGGTTAGTATCCTGAACTGGAATATTTTTCCATCAAATATCTAGTTTCAGCATCTACTTTTCATTTCTGTTACCTAGCTGACCTAAATAGTTTTTATGCACAAAGGCATGTGGGATTCTAAGTGTGATATCCATTCAACAGTCTTCATATCTTATTAACTGGGATACGCCCACTGCCTTTTCCCATGTTACCTGGCTGGAGAAACATTGCAAAATGATCATTTGATGAGCTCTCGGTCTTCAGTTCCAACATTCTTATTAGATATGAACAGTTTTTTTGAAATTCCAATTTTTGGAACTGGAGTTTCATATTATTATTTTTTCAGTGCTAGAGTACTTTGACAAAAATTTTGCAAGAGGCAGCTTGAACTTTGTTGATGGTTATCTGTCACTTCTGTTTATGTTTCTTATAATACTTCTTATATCTTCTGGGTGTGTGTGTTGGGTGGGGAGGATCGGAACTCTATACTTTTCCCATCATGTGCCATATTTTATCAGAAAGATAAGATTCCAATCTAAGAGTCTCTTTATAGTTTTTTTACTTGTAAGTTTATTTCTTCTTATCTGAAACTTTTCTACTATGCATTGTATGCTAAAGATGCATTCTCAAAATTTGTCCGGTTATTCCAATTATCACTGGAAAATGGGAAATTTTAAAATGGCCAAATATTCTTGCAGGGTATTTCATTCCAGATATTGTAGTGGCGGCTACTATTGGAGTTGTAACTAGTGTGTGCGTTGGTCCTCTAATTCCAGTTTGTGGACACTGGTTAGCTAGGTCATCCATCTTGCAATTCTTGTTGCAGCTTATTGTAATTGGGTTGGCTGTTTCCTCGCAATTCTTTCCATATAGTATGGCTGCTCCGAAGAGGGTAGTTCTTCAGCAAACTTATCTTACTTCAGGTATTAAGACACTTTTAAAATATTCTCTTAGAATTTTGATGAGGTGCAATGATCGATACAGTAGACCTACACTATAATAGGAATTTTTTTAGTACTCTTGTACTGCATCTCCCTCTGTCCACACTATGAATTTTGTTTCATAAATTCTATAAACCCCACATCATTCTAAAATAGTGTCGAGGTAACTAAAAATGAATTAGAGTAGCACCCATACTCCCGGAGTCTAGGAAAATTTCCTACTAAAATGTCTTTTCTTTTCTCGACCGACTTACCTACTGCAGTTTGTCACTGTGTGTGCGCCTGTGTTAAAAATTTTGGGCATTGTAAGATACTGCACTAGCACTTCCCAATTTGTAAGACTGCTCTCATTGCAGTTTTTAAGTAGACCCCTGTGTTTTCTACTTGATCTACGTGCTCAGCTTAAATGTTGTAGATGTCAAGATTACAGATTCAAGAAGTTTATAAACTTTGGAGATAACATTTCTGTTCGAAATTTTAACAAAACTTTGTTAGCTAATTTATAAATATTAGCAATCTACAATTTTCATCCTTAGGGTAGAATTATTTTTCCCCTCTTTTAAACGTTTTATTGACAATTCTGACCAAATAATAATAAACAAACCCTTTTATTGACCCGAAATCATTGCTTTTAGTTTTTCTGAATTGGCACTATATTTTGTCACAGGTCCAAATCATCTTGAGAACTCCAGTTATGAAATCTCTGTGGTGGATTCTAATTCTCTAATCTTTCTTTTCAAACATGCTCCTGATGTGGCGAAGGAATTGCAGACTGATTTAGATCTGTCTTTTGAAACTGCAAATTTGTCTCGCCAAGAGAACTGGCTGGTATGTTGCTGTAGATTAGAAAAAAGTGTGACTAATAGGACTTTGACCTTTCAATTTATGATGAATTTTAAAAAACGTTTATTAAACGCAAAATAGACTTGAAATTCAAGAAACAAATCGTAATCAGGACTATACCGTAGGCCTTAGGATTGATGTGAGTGGTATGAAATTTTGTATCCGCTTTTCTTCCGCAGGCACTTTTTCCTGTTTCCTTCTTGTTCACAAGAAGTTTGAAGTTCCCTGCCAAAGAATCAACTGCAGAGCAAGGTTTATATTTCCCTTATTTGATTGCCAGTAAGCCACAAACAATTTCGGATAATGGATCTCGAAGGGTTTACTTGGAACTTTCTCTAGGGTATGTAACTCAACTCTTTTGTTACCCCAGGCTAAAATCCAGGACACAGTTATTATTTGAAATATAATTTACATGGTTAATATGTGCAACATTATATTAGCTGATCCTAGTCAACAATATTCATGCACTGTAATGAGTTATGAACATCCTATCTGTTCTTTTTCTTTTTCTTGCAAGAATGAACTAAGATAATATAAAAAAGCTGTAGTTGTTTGTTTCTTGCAGCCCCTTTGCTTTTAGAACCTAAAATGAAAAATCGTATAGGCAGAATGACTCTCATATCGTGTAGGGTTGGGAATCGGTGTTCGCATGTAGTAAAATAGCAAAAATAAAATTTGTCCAGAATACCTTCCTGGTGGATTAAGCATGTTTGTTCTTTTGATACTAAGCTTGGTGTTGTGTCTGACCGCCAATCCTTCTTCTAGTTCCTTGGAGGAGATTTGGGTCACAGTTCTAAACATCACTGGGCCTTTATCAAGTTGGTCATTTGCAGACAATAAGCTTCCAGGTTAGTTCGGTTCCCTGTCTCGCATCTGATGTCCATTTTCTTCCCGACATGAATTATTCTCCTTACAAATTGGAACAGCACCCGAGACGCTCAACGGTGGGCCACCCTCGTACATATGTAGACTTAGCGGAGCCAGCCACAGAAACTGGACATTTTGGCTAGAGGTACAACAAGCTCACACATCGTAGTGGTCACATTGCATTCTTTCCTCATATTTTGCTTTTATCCAATATATAGTAACCAAGGATTTTTGCCAATACATTTAGTGAACATGATCTCTTGTTCTAATTGAGAAGCTCTCACTATAAGCAAGTTCATCAATATTTCACGATTACCCATCTTCTCATCTAGCCAAACTAGTTGAGGCATATATCTTCAATCAATAGGTTAGATGTTTGAATACCCCACTCCAAAAACTAGCTACCTTCTTCATGCACCTTAGTATTTTCTTCTAATTAGCTGTACAAGCTTGCTTACATTCTGAGAAGATGCAACTTAATACCGAACGTTTTGCTGTTATGACGAGTCATGAAGTGAAATTTGCTATAAGATGCAAGTGTGTTAGACCTGTTTATGTAGACTCATGCTCAGCTCTCTGGGAAATGTAGGCTAACAATGACGAAGAATTGAGAATCAACGTCGCAGTACTGGATCAACAGTTGACAAGTGAAGTAAAGAAGCTGAAAAGTCTTTTCCCAGAATGGGTTGATGTCATTGCATATTCCAGCTTCATGTCTGCTTACACCTTCTGATTCATCATCCTCGCCCGGGTACGCTATGGATCCACAAGAGTTTGGCTGATCGAATCGGGTTCAGGTTCAGGTTTAACTTATTTGATGTTTGTTTCTCCACAATAGCAGTCCTTCCACCCCTCCATCCAACCAGGCTCATAGGAAAATATTTTAGAGCTTGATTAGTTTGATTGTAGGATAGCTGTGATAGTCTGTTTTCTTTAGTAATGAGAACTGTTTCTCCATATGGATTTGAAAACTTTAGATACTTCTAATGTTCCAGTGTTTGAAGCAAGGATGGGATGTTGATTTCTTAACTAATTCAACTATATTTTATTTGTAGTGTTAATGGTGGATAATTATTTTTAACTGTCATTTAATCATATATTGATTATATTTAGATTATTAAATAATAAAAAAATCAAAATAGCAACACTAAATTATTTCGGGTCAGGAAGGGAAGTAAATGTTAGGGATCACGACTCTGTACAATAGTATGATATTGTCTGCTTTGAGCATAAGCTCTTGTGGTTTTGCTTTGGACTTTCCAAAAAAGCTTCACTCTAATGGAGATAGTATTCCTCACTTATAAACCGACGATCTTCCACTAAATTAACCAATGTGGGACTCACTCCCAATAATTCTCAACAATCCTCCCCTCTAACAAAGTACACCCTTTGTTCGACACTCTAGTCACTTTTGACTACACCTTCGAGGCTCACAATTCTTTGTTCGATATTTGAGACTTATATTGACATGGCTAAGTTTTAGTCACTTTTGACTACACCTTCGAGGCTCACAATTCTTTGTTCGATATTTTAGAATTCTATTGACATGGCTAAGTTTTAGGGCATGGCTCTAATACCATGTTAGGAATCGCGCGACTCTCCACAATGGTATGATATTGACTTTACTTTGGGTTTCCCCAAAAGGCCTTACTCCAATGGAGATAGTATTCCTCACTTATAAACCCGTGATCTTCCACTAAATTATAAACCCATGATCTTCCATTAAATTACCAATGTGGGACTCACTCCCAGTAATCTTCAACAGAAAATATGTGGAAAAAAACAAAACAGGAAATATTTGGAAAAAAACACGGAAATATTTGGAATATGGTATATTATTATTAGGACGAAGGAAAAAGAAAAAACAATGATAGATTTGCAAATATTTTATTTAACATATTATTGACATTTTTTAAAAATAATTTCAACTAAAATGTGGGATTCGTTTTGCAAGTGATGATAATAAAATTTGTAATTATATATATTTTTTTAAAAAAAAAGTAATATTTTGTTAAACTATTAAAAAAAATACTAGAAATATGCAAAATGGGCCAAGCCCATGAAGCCCAAACCAGAAATAGGGTTGGTCTTATAAGCCCCCTTTGACTTTTTTAGGGTTTTGTGGAGTTTTGTCCTTCTCTGCCTATAAACCTAATTCAAGCACTTCTTCTTCTACCTCAGTCACCGCGTAATTCAACTGTTTTTCAGAAGCCGAAGTTGCAGACGTCGCTATGGTTCGTCTTTTATCCTCTTGTTTTATTCTTCATAACAATGTCATGTGAGGTTTATGTGTACGATAATCTTGAATTCCTCTTTATGTTCATTGTTGCAGGTTAAGTACTCGAGGGAACCCGACAATCCCACCAAATGTATGTTTCTTGTGGATTTCGATCGATTTCTGTTTGAAGCTCTGCATTTCTTTTGTTTATCTTCTATCGGCTTGAATTTTATGGCTTCATTGAGATTTTTGCCTTGAACTGACACTTCGTTCTTTCTCTTTTCAGCCTGCAAAGCCAGAGGTTCGGACCTCAGAGTCCACTTTAAGGTAGGTTTAATTCCTCACCATTCCGAGCTTTGATATTTTCTTAGTTTCCATGAACTGTTTTCTACTTCTTTCCGATGTACAAAATATTTGATTCAGGGCCATATTTCCTTTCCGGTGCAAGTAATGGATTGGATAAGTGATAATATATGTGAGCTTTCGCCTTTTCCAGACCTGAAAAGAAGTGCTGAATCCTTATGTTTTTTGCCACTCGCATTAACCCGACATCGTCTAGCTTTCCATGATTACTTCTGTGTAACCTGATGATAAAAGCAGGGCTTCTGTTGCCTTCTATGAACAGGGCTCTCGTAAACTTCAGGGAAATTATATGCATTGTTATTGGGTGAACCTCTGTAACCCATAGTGTCTGAAGGTTCAGTAAATGATGCGACATATTTTAGCTTGTAGCTTTACTTGCATATTTCAGTGCATCATGTTGATCAAACTAACGACATTAACATGTTAATCTTTATATTGTAGAACACAAGGGAAACTGCCCATGCCATCAGGAAGTTGCCGCTGGTCAAGGCCAAGAGGTACCTAGAGGATGTACTTGCCCACAAGCAGGCCATTCCTTTTCGTCGCTTCTGTGGTGGTGTTGGACGAACTGCCCAGGCAAAGAACAGGCATTCCAATGGCCAAGGGCGCTGGCCTGTCAAATCTGCCAAGTTTATTCTAGATTTGCTTGTGAATGCCGAGAGTAACGCTGAAGTATGTAATAATTCCTGTTTAGTTTCACTCTAAACTGTTGCTCATAAGTTCAGTTTTTTCACTGTTGCTTATAAGTATTATGTTCTTTCAGGTTAAGGGTCTGGATGTTGATTTGCTCCACGTATCTCACATCCAAGTAAACCAAGCTCAGAAGCAAAGGCGTCGAACCTACCGCGCTCATGGAAGAATCAACCGTATGTTCTGAATACAGTTTACTTATTTTTTCTCTGGATGTCTGCTTAATAAACATCCTGCCTGACATTTCCTTTCCCTTTGTTTTCCTTTTGATTGGCAGCATACATGTCTTCTCCTTGCCATATTGAGTTGATTTTGTCTGAGAAAGAAGAGCCTGTTAAGAAGGAGGTAACCAATTAGATTGCCTAATTTACATTTGTGCTGTGAAGGAAATAGATAGATTGCTTTCTTATTGTTCATGATTCTACAGCCTGAGACTCAGCTGGCTACAGGCAAATCGAAGAAAGGTCGAGCGATCCGAAGCGGTGCTTCTTCTTGAATCAGAAGTACAAATTTTGATCTGGGTTTTACAGTGCCATTTTTGTTTTGAAGTGAGTTTAATTATAAGTCACTATATAGGAGGTATTATGATTTAGATGTTTTGTGTGACATGTTATACTCGGAACCTTCCAGTTCAAGTTGCTATCACATTATATGATAATTTGATTCAATTTTTCATAATGAGATCAGATTGATCCCCCCATGGCATAGTCAGTGGCCACTATTGGTCTCCTTCCTCTAAACTAACAAATAAATAACAGTGACATTAACATAATCAAACTTCTAAAAGCCGAGCTCGGTAGATTTATCGATAATAGTTCGATTAAATTATCAAGTTTGTCTATAGATTGTATAAAGAAACTTTAGATTTTTCGATTTAATTTTGTGTGGCATTCATTATTGACCTATTCTATATTTTACTAAATCCAAAAGGTTAGAATTTTATTGGACAAAAAAATTAATTTTATATATAATAGAATAATTAGTTTAAAGATTTTTTATAACAAACTAGAAATTTAATTATCTATTAGACAAAACAGAATTAAGGTCCAACTTGTATAATATAATTATATTGTTATAATAAAAATGTTTTTGTTAATAAATAACCACTTGCAGAGTAAATTTACAAACGATTAGAAAGAGCTGATAATCATGTGAAAAATGTTTAGAACATGAAATTTAGCATTAGAATTCTGAAATCGTCAATTTTCTTAGCAAGTTTATTCAGCATGTAAGAGTCGGAGAAGTGAAAGGAAAGTATATACACTGGGGGGTTTATAGATGCCGCTGATGGCTTTGCTCCTACTTGTTTTCGTTCCTCATTGCCCTCAAAATGGGATCATCCTCCTCCAACGAGTCGTCATCTTCGTCTTCCAACTCGTCCAACTCATTGAGTATCGACTGGTTCACTCTCTTACGAGATTGTCTCCTATGCTTCTTGAGCTCCAACCTTGGTTCTGCTTGCTGCGCACCCATATCTCCAACCTTAATCCTGCAAATAAAAGTTCTTCCATCACTATAGTTTTGGATTCGTCTCATATGAGAATGAAAGAGGATTCGAGGTAACCACTCGATATTGTTATTCGAATATATATCAATAAAGGCATAAGGTCAGTAGGAGGACTATTAGGGCCATTCACATAAACAAGTTATAGTTCCTTTCGACAACGACGCCCCTAATCCGAAGTAGTATCACAAATGCTATATGAATATAAATGCATATAAAACTGCAATCAAAATATTTTATCAAATGTGATTAATAATCTTTGTAGCACAAGATGAGATCCTCGAAAGTAATTACGATATCGAAGTGATAAACGCTTAGAGAAAGCAGCAAACCTACTTCCTTATTACTAGAAAAGTCACAGCAGTATTGCCAAATGATCAAAGGCACATTTACAAAACATTTGCAGACATCCCTTTCAATGTTTAGCGTTCTAATTTGTTTAAAATCATATAAAAAAAATGCTGAAAGGAAATAACATCGCAGATCAATGGATTCTATTTAATGTATTACCTCTCTCAAGCACAAGATCAAAGAAGCAATATTTTAGTGTAACTATTCACAATCTCTAAGGTAAACATACCTGACATCCCCCTCTCTTTTCGTTCCAAATGTTCTCAACTGGAATTCTTCCCTAATTCTGATTTCATCAAGAAGTTGGAAATAGTATTGATATCGCTCCCAATCTCCATTAATAACGCAACCCGGTTCGCCAAGATGTAAGCAATCATTAAAAGAGCATTTAGCAGGTTCACTGGCAAGAAGCTTGTTCCGGATCTGTACAAAGAAGTTAGTTCAACACAAGAAATTCCACAGAAGTTGAAATTTATGCCAGAATTATAAGCATTGGTAATGATGGTCAACAATGCTGAGTAATGATGTACACCTCAGGGAAGGCTTGGGCAAGTGATTGCTTGGTTATTTTCATCAAACTAGGCTGGTTAAAACCAGGAGTATCTGCAAGATAGCCCCCTCCCATCAACGGTAGGAGAGAAACATGACGGGTAGTATGCTTCCCTCTACCGCTTCTTGTCGAAACTTCTGCAACACGCTGATCCTCAAACCACTTGCTATCTCGAATCTGTGAATAGACCAGAAAAATATACAAACCCTTATGAACCGAGTGATCAAGAAAGCCCCAGAATTAATACACTAATCAACAAAAACAACACAGTTAAAATTGGAAGAATGATTGAACACACGGGATCAAACCAATTATCTCCCTCTACAGCATCAGCAGCACGGTTATTGCTTCTCAGAGCATTGATGAGACTTGATTTCCCAACTCCACTTGGACCCACAATAACTGTAGTTTGATCTCTCAAAATATATGCTAGGGAATCAAGTCCAATCCTTGTTTGAACACTGCAAAAAAGGGGGTCATAGCCCCAGCTGCGCAGTCTGGACTTCCAAGAAACTACTGTCTGCAATATGCCATTCCTAATAACTGTCAGCATCAAGAAAGGAAATGCATGCATGCATAGTTACAAGAAACTTTGAACAATCACTGCTCTCCTAGAGAGATTCAAGCAGGATCCAAAACTAGAGAGTATGCAATATGTCAAGGAAGCAAGAACAAAGTTTATGTACAGAGCAAAGTAGCAAAAATTATAACATAACTGTGGTTGACAATTAAGCAACAGGCTTGTGGGGTATCGGTCGAGTTAAAGACTAGTGAAAACTTACTGATCAAGTAATTTGACTTAGTCAATTGATGTTAGTGCCACTCATTTAGGGTAGTGGCTTGTAATTAGGAGGGACCTGACTTCGACACTTAGTGAGGTTGGTAAGAGAGATTGTAAGGTTAGTAGTCTAATCAGTGGATTTGGTCCTACAAATACATGTAAATTTCTCATCTCAATACACAAAATAGAATTGAAGCACTTTTTTCATGCTATTTCTCTATTGTTTCCACTAATTAAGAGAGATCTGTAAGGTTTGTTCTCTTTGTTTTTCGTCAAGTAGTAGGACTAGAGCATGCTTTCATTGAAGCTCGTTTATACCTTCACATTTCCAAATTATGAACAGAAGTTGCTAAATTACCATGGCTACATTGTAGGACTAGAACATGAACTTTGAATCCTCTTTTCACACGATATTAAACCTTCAGAGATTAAGTTCAGTTTCAGGTGTTCAGAAAATCCTTCATGTTCAACAATCTGTCATTACTCGTATTCATGAGAAAAAGTATTGGCAGATGATGCTAGAGATTTCAGATATAGCCTAAGCGACCAAAATAGTTATGATCAGAGAGCTTAGTAAGTATAAGATTCAAACTCTAACCTCTTCATCGACGAGTTCCAATTTATTGAGACCCAGCGTCAAGGGAATTCCGGTAGATTCTGCTTCCACTAGAAACCTTGTAAGTGTAAACGGCTCTAACTTCGGCTGCTCTATGGAGAAGAGCACAAGCAAATGGTCCACATTGGCTACCGGAGGATCAAGGATCTCCGAGCTTCTTTGGAAGACATTCTCGATCATTCCCCTGCGGTCCACCCAATCAATCGAACCAACGACCACCTTGTCCCCGACTAACACTCTCCTCTTTATCTTTTTCAGCACCGCCTTCACTACGCAGAGCAACTCAATTCCAAGGCGAGAAGAATCCAAAGAATCTCCTTCTAAGCTTCCAGAACGCTCCGAATCGTTGTTCGAACTGTCAGAAAGCTGAGAAGGAAGCGACTGAACAATTACGCGCATGAAATTAGCTTGAGCAGCAGCAACGGTGCCGATGGCTTGAGATTCGGAGAGAGGAGGAATATCTTGGGGAGAGAGAACCGGTGCAAGAGACGAATAATTCTTGAAAGTGTGTTTAGCTCGGAGTAGATTCTTGCTTGGCGGAGGTTTATTGGAGACATTGTTAGGGTTATGCTGTTTGGCAACGATTGAGAGGCATCGGACGTTGAAGCATCGCCGGAGAACATTTCCGAAGCCCGGGACTGATGCAATAGCAGCAATGGAGGTGGAGTGGTGGCGGAGCATAGAAATGGAAGCAATCGCCATGAAGGTAACAAAATTCAGATATCGACTTCTGAGATTGAACAAAATTCAAAACTAAAACGAATTCACTCCTAAAATAGCTCAGACTCAACCCGAAAATGAATATTCAAGACATCTTTATCTTCGTCATCGTTGAATCTAGAGCAATTATATCTTCCACCGGAGAAGATGAAGGCATTTCATTGAGAATCCGACGGTCGAACCTTCCATACCAAAGCGGAGCCAATTGCCGTTCCCGTCCAGAACTACTTGTCGTATGACTAAAATGGGCCATACAGGGTCAAGCGCAGCCCATTTAACACATTTGAATGATGAGCAAGGCCCATTTATTTATGGGCTCTCTTCAGTCTTTCTCATAGAGGCCCAACCCGTTTTTGCCTAGAAGGAGTACTTGAATTTTTTATTATTTATTCGATTTTTTTTTTTAAATTCACAAACCTATTAAAAATTTAAGTCTTATTTTCCTTAAAAAAAAAAATATATATATATATATATATATATTATATTTATTATATCAATTAATATTTTAAAAAATGAAAAGCGTAAAATATTAAATATAAAATTTAAAAAGTCTATAGATGTACTAGACGCAAAATTAAAAGTTTAGAGATCCATGATATACAAAATTTAAAAAAATAATTATTTAATAGACACATCTAAATATATTTAAACACTTATTTAAAAATTTAAAAACTAAACTTATAATTTAATTTTAAAATTATTATCTCCCCATCTTAGTATTTTTAATATTATATTAAACAAATCTTCTTTCTTAAATAAATTTAAAAAAAAAAGTGTGATTAGACGTTATAGATTACAATTCTTTTAAAAAAAACATATATATTCCTACGAATTACTTTTGTAACCAAATTTAATAAAGTCCAGTTATCTAGTAAAAAATAGTTGAAAATAATTTAAAAAAATAATAAAATAATTGGAAGAGGATAAGGTGAGTATGGTTGGTGATGGGTTGCTTAAAAAAAAAAGACGCCACTTTGAAGTGAGGTGTCGAAGGTTCGGCCTTATCGCTGTTTATGCACTTTTGACCATTCCAATAACAACCACTGTACCCTCTCGGGACTCGTGGAGCCACATCCATTTTTGAACACCCGTGTTCCTCTTCTTGAATGGGTCAATTTAATTCAAAATTAATAACATAAAAAAAAAAAAAAAAACTAATTTAAATAACGTTCTCCTCATTGTTTTTTTAGATTTTAAAATGTTTTAATTTTATTATGCAAAAGAATAAGTTGATTGAAATTTTAGTTTTTATAATTTATATTTAGTTGATTAATATGTATAGTATAAATATTGATTTGACTTTTAATTATTTAGAAGTCAACTAATTTAATAATTTCATAAACTTATCCATTAAATATTTGTTTGACAATGAAAACGTGCACTGAAATTGTGTTTGGATACGTAAATAACGGAGCCGTTGATTGATTTTGAAGCCAACACTTAATCTATTAACCAAACACTTCCCGATAAACTTTCCTCTGCTTATCTTTATTCCTTATCAAAACTTTCATATTTTAACTAAATTTCAAAATTCTTTATCTTGAGTATTTATTCTATCCTCTTTTAAGGTATGGTAGGTTTAAATTCTCCTGATCTTCATCTTAAATATATTATAATATAATATTTATAAAAAAAATAAAATATAACCCATTATCTTACGATAAATATCTAACTTTTTTTTTTAATCTTATGTGTATTTAATTTTTCGATGAATTATATTTTAAATTTTGAAAAATTAAAATTCTAACGATAAACATAATTTGACGGTTTAAATATCTTTATCTATTTCTGTTAAATATAATTTAATCAAATTAGATTTCCGACCATCTCAATTTAATTTAATCTTGTAATTATTAAAAATATTTTGTCCTCTAAATTAAGACATTTTTTTAATATGAGACATTCGTTTTATTTATTTAATTATGACCTAATCGAATTTAGTTTAATTTGAGAAATTTATAATAAAAAGAATTGAGGTGGATCCAAATCGATAGCTTATCTAAACCCCACAAGCCTATCCTTAAAGGTCAAATTTATTTATTTAATTTTTTAAGTGACAAATAAAACATAAAAAAATGGAAAAAAAAAGATAGACTAAGCAATTGGGTCGGTTCGAAACCTACCGATACGGTTCAAAACCTACCGATACGCAATTTCGATGGTCCATATCAAAAATTTGTATTTTTTTTTTCTTCAATAAAATCCCTTTATTATTTTATTTGAATTTTTCAAGTTCAATAACCACTCTGTCCAGTTGTCGTCCATCATTGCCAGTAGGTATTTAAATAGATTAAAGATTTAAATTTTAATATTTTTTAAATTATATTATATAAAATACATCTAGCTTATATTAACTTTGAAATAGCTACATTTAAATACGTTGATTTTTTTTTTTTTTTGTTCATTTTTTTACTTTAAAAATAGTTTTATAATTTTACGATCACGAATAAAAATGGATGATATTAATATATGTATAAACAAAATAGAAGCGACGTGTCCAATAATGGAAAATAAGACGTCCACAATGACGTGGAAGAGTGGGAATGGAGGTGAAGCGCTCGTCTCTATCGAAGGAATGGGGTCTTAAAAAAAGCCCTAGCGAGTTCCATCAATGGCGGTCGCTGCAATTTGGCCGCTCGAACGGGGCCCTCCACCTTCGTCATTCCACAATCCACGCCATACGCCGTCAATTTCAACTCAGCCCCCTCCAATTTTGATTTGACCGTCGCTCGTTCTTCCTCTCACGAGGACCACTACGCTCACCAGCGCCGATCGCCATCGAATCTGACCTCCATTTGCGTCGACGTCGCTGCTGTCTTCTTCCGATTATGAACAGAAATCGACGCCTTCTTTTTTCCCCTCCACTCGTATTTCTTCACCAAAAGCAGAAGGAAATCCGAGGTCCAAGGTTCACGGAATTGCAGCAAACCGTGGAAAGTGAAATCCAGGTAGAGTTTGATTGTTGTTGTTCTAAGAGAAGCGCGCTAATGGCTTCCACAAGTTTTGTTTGTGGTAATTCCTCTGAATAATGTTCGTAAAGAGCATTGTCAACCAAAATCGCTCGTCTCTGTCACTTGGAATCCAAATGCGATCGATGTGGTTGTGTGGTAACGGCAACGCAATCGATGCGAATCAATAGTCCAGCTTAAGCCACGTTTACTCGACCTCAAATTTAATATCTCCAAATATTATTAATTGTCCACCAATGTAATTTAATGAATGATCGCGTTTATAATCAACATATGAATCGTATGTATTTATAATCAAATAATACTCTCCTTCATCTCGATAAAGCCTTTTGAGAAGCCCAAACAAAACCATGAGAGCTTATGCTCAAAATGGACAATATCATACCATTATGGAGAGTCGTGTTCATCTAACATGGTATCAGAGTCATCCTAAACTTAGTCGTGCCAATAGATCGGTGAATCCTCAAATGTCAAACAAAGGACTTTAAAAGAAAAGGAGTCGAGGCTCCTCGGTGCCAATATAGATTGGTGAATCTTCAAATTGCCAATATAGATTGGTGAATCTTCAAATGTTAAACAAAGGACTCCAAAAGAAAAGGAGGAGTTGAGGCTTCTCAAGGCATAGTAAAAAAATGACAAAGACTCCAAAAGAAAAAAAATGAGTCGAGCCTCGATTAAGAGGAGACGTACTTTGTTCGAGGGGAGGTGTTGGATGATGAAAGTCCTACATTGGCGCTAATTTAGGGAATGATCATGAGTTTATAATCAAATAATACTCTCTCCATCGGTATTAGACATTTTGGGGCAAACCGATGAGAGTTTATGCTTAAAGTGGACAATATGATACAATTGTGGAGAGTCGTGTTATCCAGTTATAACTCTAGAAAGTTTAATTTTGAACTACATGTAAAATATAAAATATTATTAAAATAGTTATGATTTCACCGTTTAAAATGGAATGAAATTAATTAAAATAAGAGGAAAACTGTTGGCTAATAAAGTAGGTTAAATAAATTAAGGATGGTTGTTTGGATAAAATTAGTATATTTTAAGGAAGAAAGTCCAATTTGGGAGGTATAAATCGTTGAAGCCATAAATAAAGTGATTATTTGTCTAATTAAGTAATTATTGCCCAACTTGCCGTCCCTCCTCTTATTTTCTTCATTTCCTTTTTGACTTTTTCCCCCATTATGAATGACATTTGTTGATATTGAGTTAGGGGCAATTTTGTAATGTTACCCTCCAATTATTGAATGAAATAAAACTATATATATATATATATAATATATGATCCTCTATTTCCATTTGAGGGAAATTCTTGAAATTGGTATTTTAATTATTTTATAACCTAATGTTTTTCTTCTTGAATAATTATTTAATTGAATCCCTAACCAAATTTTTATTCATTTAAGATTTTCTAGAATTTAAATGGGTAAATTACACGAGAAAATAAATATGCCATATAAATTCACTTATTTTTAAAAACGTTTTATTAATTTTCAACGAATTTTCTGAGCAATATTCCAACTTATCGTATTTAAAAAAAATCATTGATTTAGGAATAATAGCTAAATAAGTGGAAATAGAAAATTTATTAAAAAAATTAATAAAAATAATTAAAATATGGTCACGATGAGGAGTATTTTCATAAAATTATATATTTATTTGGAAATTGTATTGCAAAATATTATTTTACTAATTTAATTTTTGGTTAGTTGTAAAAATTGTTTGAGCTTTCCGAAATTACTAAATTAATCTCATGATTAAAGAAAGTTTAATTGGAGATTAAGGTTAAAAATAAGATAATAAAATTAGAAACAGGTAATTAATTAATTAAGTTGTTTTATTTCGCTAATTCCTTAATTCGGGGGAACACAAAAGACGACAATTATCGTCTCCTTCGTGTCTTGGCGAGCAATTGCGCGGAAAATCTCATTCTGACGTGGTCCGGTTCTGTCAGTTTTATCCTTTTCTTTTTTTTTTTTTCATTCCTATTTTTGGTTCTCTATAAATCTTCTTCAATCTCAGCCCCACCCTAGAGACCAACCACATCTTCTTCATTTTTTTCAAATCTCTCAACAACCCTCTTTGCTGCTGCTGCTGCTGCTTCTGCCGCCTCTCTGGTAATCTTCTCTTTCTGATCTTGAATCTGCTGTATTGATTATGTTCTTTTTTTTTTCCGCTTTCGATTCCGGCTTGTGTTTGCTGCAGATCTGGTGGTATTTTCTTTTATTTTCTGTTTTAGATCAGTTTACTTCACTGGATCTTTGTATCCATGGAGTTTGGATTTGTGTGATTCTTGTTTGTAATTTTTTGGAGGCGGGGGGTGAAGTGGCTTCTTTTTGTACTTCGTAGCTGTGCAGCTTGTTAAATCCTATGCAATGCTGTGTTGTTGTGTTTATGCGGCTGTTTATGCTTTGCCATTGTTTTGTTTGCTCTAGATTCTGCTGTTCATCGTTTTGCTAGGGTCTTGAATTGTCGGCTCAATTTCTGAGTTCAGTGTTCATGTATCTATATCGTTTTTTATGGTTGTGATTTTGATGCGATGGAAGTTTTGTTGGTCTTTGAGAACGAACAGCTTAACTTTTCCTGGTTCATCTTGTTTTTTCGCGATTCTATAATGTTGAGGGATTCTTTTACTTTTATTCAATTTTTGAGTTCAGTGTCTGTGTAGAAGATTAATTGACTTCAGATCCGGTTGAAGAGCTGTTTTCTTGTACCCTCTTGAAGGTGACTGTTGGACCCAACTTGTTGGCTGCTTTGCTTGTATTTCCCTCCATATCTCTGCTAAGCTCGGCTTCTATCTGCTTCATTATGAAGAAGCTGCTGAGATATTTACTGTCACTTTGTTCGGCATCGCCATTCTCACCCTTCGAATACTGAATAAGAACACGTGTCAAACCCAATACTCGGTGTTTGACGAGTCTTTTTGGCCCATGCATGTGTCGCTTGTTTGTGCATCTTCTATTATTTTTTGTTTCTCCTTCTACCTCTGTTGAAAGATAAGCTCAAATGATATGAACTCGTTTTGGTTTTATATCCTTTTTTCATATCATTTTAAGCTTGGACCTTATAATTCTTGTGATCTGGGACTTAAAGTAATAATCAACCGATTTGTATTTGCCTTTGATATTAAGCGTGTAATCTTTATGACTTTCCATATTTCAGACTTTCAGTTTCTCTCTATTTTCAAATGGAAGTCATGGGGGGCTAACTTGGCGAGTTCTATGGCCTTGACTGGTATGTTTTTCTTTCAAATCTGACACTGTGCATACATGCTCATCGGCTGTCACTTTCACGAGAACTTGGGTTATAAGCTTTATGCTGCACGATGTGTAGGTATTTTGGCAATGCATAGAGAAAGAGGGAACTCTATAAAGTTGCAGAGCATCACTCATACTGCCATATCTAGTAAATATAATCGTGAGTTTTCTGGCATGGACTTTGAATCAGATTGGACAAGACACAGAAAGTCCTCTGCATTTGCTGCTCAAGTGATCCGTTCTGCAACTTCCTTTATGCCTTGGTCTTGCAGAATCCCAATTAGTAAAGGATATCACGAATTTCTTTAATTGAACTCAATCAAGTTATTGCACTGTTTGAGCGATACTGTTGAAGAAAAACAGTCGTCGTTGTACATGATTTAATTGGTTACTTTATTTGTATAATGCCTGGATTCATTTCTGGAAAGAAGAGGTTCACAGAAATAAACATGTGCATCATCAACACTGTTAAAAAGAATTCAGTTAGTCATTCGAAGAGCGATACCAGATCCACTCAGTTTGATTATGAGTCTGACAAGTCTCTCTTTCCTGGCTTGCCCGATGATGTTGCAAAACTGTGCCTTGCCCTGGTTCCACGTTCTAGCCACCCATCTATGGCTGGTGTCTGCAAGAATTGGAGGTCATTCATTAAAGGTAAGGATTTCATAACCGAGAGGAAATTAGCTGGTGCTGTTGAGGAGTGGCTGTACTTCTTAACTATGGATACTGAAAGGAAGGAGTGCCACTGGGAAGTATTTGATTGTGTAGGACACAAATTCCGAATTCTTCCCCCGATGCCTGGGGCAATGAAGGCTGGTTTTGAAGTGGTGGTTTTGAACGGGAAGCTTCTTGTCATAGCTGGTTATTCGATTGCTGACGGGACTGATTCTGTATCATCCGACGTTTATCAATATGATTCTTGCCTTAACAGGTCTGTTATCCATATTAACCTTAGAAACATATATTCCAAGAAGTTGCTTTTATACTTATTATGATTAACGTTAGGCCTGTTTTGGTTGATAAATCTGATTCTCATTTCTAATTACCCTTTATTACTTCCCTTATTCATATTTTTCAGCCTGATTGGATCATCTTCCGATTCATTTTTTTTTCCCTGATTTTTTAGATTCATTAGGTTTTTATTGGTTGGAGCTTCCAGATATCTTGGTAGGGATTTGATTTTTTTTTTTTAAAATTCATATTATTCAATTATTTTTTATTTTTATAATTATATACAATGGTTTTTGTTGATATAATAAAAGAATTTGAAATCGCGCTGCTATTAATTTCAAGACACTCCCATGTTTATGGTAGTGTTGACTGTTAAGAAGGCGCTTCTTTATTTGTAGTTATAGTGGATTGAGCTTCTGTTTATGATTGCTTTTTAATTTCTCTGCTTGCTACGGGGAAAGTAGAGTTGGGTTTTCACTAGTTAGTCATGTGACTTCTTCAAACATGGATGCAGGTGGAGCAAATTAGCCAATTTGAACGTAGCTCGATATGATTTTGCTTGTGCTGCGGTTGATGGAGTTGTCTATGTGGTTGGAGGCTATGGTATAGAAGGTGACAATCTAGCAAGTGCTGAGGTGTATGACCCCGAAACTGACAAGTGGACTCTAATTGAAAGCCTTCGCCGCCCTCGATCAGGCTGTTTTGCGTGTGGATTTGACGGTAAGCTGTACGTCATGGGTGGAAGGTCAAGCTTCACCATTGGAAATTCGAGGTTCGTCGACGTGTACAATCCCAAGAGACATAGTTGGAACGAGATGAAGAATGGTTGTGTAATGGTCACTGCTCATGCTGTAGTAGGTAAGAAACTCTTCTGTATGGAATGGAAGAACCAACGAAAGCTATCTATGTTCAATCCAGAGGATAATTCATGGAAGATGGTACCTGTTCCATTAACTGGTAGCTCTAGCATTGGATTTCGGTTTGGCATAGTGGATGGGAAGCTGTTGCTCTTCTCGTTGAAGAACGAACCCGAATACCGTACTTTGTTGTACGATCCAAATGCAGCTCCAGGTTCAGAATGGAAGACCTCAGACATTAAACCATCTGGCTTGTGCATGTGCAGTGTGACCATCAAGGTTTGACAATGGAAGTGTCATTTTAGAGTGAAAGACAGTCACATTTTATCCAGTTTGACTTGTTTGTTAGCAGATTCTAATTCATCCTCCATTTCTATTATCTGACAATGAATGATTTGGTCAATCATTTAAAACATCATTCTTATCTTAATGATCTAGTGGAGAATCAATCCTTTGATGATGTTTGTTTTCAAACAAGCCTGCAATCCAGATAGATAGATACTCATGAAGCAATCTTTACGTTGCTTCAACTTGCTGCTGCAACTCATAGAAAATGTAGATTGCTGATCAAATCATGTCAAGTGAAGTCGAAGGTGTCAGCTGAACCCGGTAATCGTCTGGTCAGTTGCGGGCTATGCAAGCCTTTGAAGTTCGAACTTAGAACCTTCAAAGTGATGGCTTTATTAAGAATCTGTTTGAGAAATTGATGTGTGGTATGATATCCAACCCCTACGGCAGGGAATTGAGTTTTTAGAACTAATCCCATGTTAAGAAGATGCATGAAAGATTGAAATCTGTACATAATAGGTAAATATGGTATCTGGTGAATGATTTACTTTTCCCGTGACCGAAAATTCGAATCTCTTACCTCTACTCAAATAAGCCTTAAATATCAAGTCCTATGTTCGTTTGGTGTGTGTTTGTGTGTGTGGATACTGTATTATAACCTTTACCAACACAAAGGTGTATACACAGATTTAACTCATAAATCTATTTAGACACGGACCTGCCGCCTACGTGGAGGGAGGTTATACAGCAGTCCATGAAAAAGATGGCCAAAACTATTCCTGCTTGATTTTTCCAGCGAAGAGAACTATGATGACAAATAACATTACAGAAACAACACCCATTTCTATTTCTTAAAGTTCGATCTCTCCCCCGGATGAACTATATAGTTAAGAGAAAGCATGAACTAGAATAATGAGAAAGAGCCATGAGATCCATTCTGGTTCATTTTCACCTCCAATTCACTACCTATATATTCAAACCAGCATTGCTAGAATCAACGGTGTATATAAAATGTCTACTACAACACTCCATTTCAATGGCTCTTTGAACTTCAAGTCCTTTACTTAAAGGCCGAAGTTGATGTAGATCAACACTATTATACAATCATCAGACCAGAGATTCAAGGATTGTTGGAAATAGGCCATGAAAATGAGATGTGACGAAGGAAAGGGAGCTGTGATTCGAGACGAAGAACATACTAAAGTTGGAGAAAAGAGGTTGCAAAAACCAGTCGAAGCAGTAAATGGAAATACAGCTTAAGTCTTCAAAATCAAGCAGAAACTAAGTATTTTTGAACTTTGGCTCAATCCCCCTCTATTTTCTACTCAACAACTATCTAGACTGCTGCCTACCTCAAGTGATAGAACATCAGTGGTATGTGTCTTAAGTAGATGTATAATGCACTAAAGAAAACAGAACTCTTTGGTTTTCTGATGAGAAATGTAACACAACAATGATCTTCCTCTTTGGCATTTTTGAGGATGCATAGCAAGCAAAACAACTTGTAATGAAATGCTCGTGTATTTATAAATGGATTTAAATAGCTTTCAACCATGTCACTACAGAAATCTAACTTCAAAGACCCTCTTACTAATAAGACTGTAAGGCACACACATGCTAAATAAACCACAAAACAGGGAATATAGGCATAGCTCAGAAGAATATTATTGAGACTCCCATTGAGAAGCACCCCACAGCTACC